ACAGACATTAGCCACAGGAAGAGGTAGAATTACAGTCGCCGTGCTAAATAGCTTTAGGTCACGAAAGAATCCGCATTCCTCTGGAAAGACAAAATGGCATTACTAATTCCCCGGTGTGAGTGTGGCTAATGGGCTGGGTGCGGCCGCAAGTGTCTTGCCCATAGCTGTCTGAGCAGGCTCCTCTCTGGCAGGAGGCTGCCACTGCTGTCTGCCCAGTGACTTCCCAGTCACAGCCTCCTGCCAGAGATGAGCCTGCTGTCTGCCCAGTGACATGCTGCTGTTGGATCTCCCGGCTCCACAGTTAGCTTGACATTTTGCTCAGTCTGACTCACCCTCTCCCAAGCCTCCGTTTTTCTGAGCCAGTGTGGACTTCTTTTACAGTTGGCCTACTTAGAAACGAAGGACGCTGGTATCAGAACTCCCTTCCAACTACTTTAGAAGTCACCTACTATGACCCTTTCGTGAGAAAGCGAGCCCCAGATGAGGCTTTTCCATGTCTTGTTTGAATGGGATGGGTTTAGGGATGAGGCACGGTGGGACCTCAGCATCAGAGCCCGTAGGGAGGAAGCGGAAAGTTGGAACCGGGCAAACCTGTAGCTACCGATGCTGCCTCTGCTGTGGGGTTACCAGAGTGGAACACTGGGCGTAGACCCAACCCTCTGGAGGAATGGGTTGTGTCAGCAAAGCAGCATCAGGAAGTAAGCCAGGCAGTCTGAAGTTCAAGGCAGGGCTTCGGTCCAGGCAGGGAAATGCGAGGGTGGATTTGGCTGAAGGTCAGTTAGGAAAACTAGGCTGACATATCCAGCAGGGTGAGAGGGTACAGAGAACGATGGGAAAATGGTCCCTCAGACTGGGAGGATACAGGAAGTTCACCAGAGGTGTGACAAACTCCCCCTCCCCTCCTTTTCACAGGGAGGGTTGATTTGAGACAGAGTCTTTCTGTGTCCACTTGGAATGTGCTACGTAGACCAGGCTGGCCTTGAACTCATAGAGATCCACCTGCCTCTGCCTCCAGAATGCAGAGATTAAAGGTGTCCCTGGCCCCTATTCATGTCTTAATGTTCCTCTTCATTCTGTAATTGTAGAACTTAGTCATCTACCAAGGCTAGGTCAGAAGATACCAGCTCTCTGATGTGGTGTTTTTGAAGGCAGATCACACTCACTCCCTGACCGGAATAGATTTTTTTTTTTTAATGGCCTAACTGCTGGGGCAGCGGAGTCAATTTTGGAGTCAATTTTCTTCATGGGGTGGCCACTGGAAGGTCACCCATGCCCCAGGGGATGATTTCATATTCATGTACATACGAGCAGTACAAATTGAACTCAGTGACTTTTTTTTTTTAAGGAATAAAATCTGAAGCCAGAAGGGAATATTTGGGAAGGAGTGGGTTTCAAAGACTATTTTTTAAAAAAATAAATAACCTGGAAACCTCCTAGAGAATCAACAGCAGTGGGAATCTGGAACACACAATTCTGGACTCTTAGTTTATCATCCCTTGGGGTTTGCATACGGCTGCAACCAAACTGGACAGTAGTGTGCCACCATCAGCCACCCAGCTGTCATCTGGAAGACTTCCTGATTGGTTCCTGACCTCATGAGCGAGGGAATACTTACAGAACTAACGGGAAGGGAGGGCGGAGCATATAACCAACTCTATCATCTTGCCAGAAAACAAGAAACGGGGGGGGGGGGGGGGAAGTGGTAGGGTTAAGGGCAGCTATACCAAGGACTGACATATGAAATGACTCATGGGGACTGTAATCTGATAATAAAGGGAACTTACATTTGAGTAGATAAAGTATTGTCACATAGATGACTCATTTAGTTTGTAGACAACCCTCGATCCCCAAGCATCTGTGCGAGGACCCCCTTGCATCTCTGCACACAGTGTTGTTATAAGCTTCTCTTTACAGGGACGATCAAATCTCAGACAGAGGTGACATGACAAACGTCACCTGTTCCTGAATGATGCTAGAGGCAGGTCTGCCAGTCTCCTGGTCCAAAGCCATGATGGGCGGCTTTTAAGAATGAGGAAGTCCTGGACGGTAGTGGCACAGCCAGGCACTGGTAGAGCCTGGTAGTCCCGGCACTTGGGACACAGAGGCAGGCGGATCTCTGTGAGCTCAAGGCCAGCCTGGTCAACAGAGCTAGTTCCAGGACAGGCTCCAAAGCTACAGAGAAACCCTGTCTCGAAAACATCCACAACTAAAGATGAGGCTGCTCCTCTGACCCGGAAGCGGGAGAAGCCTTTTTAAAATCAAACAGGATGACTAGCAGGTTTTTCTCTGGGGTATATGACTCAGAGGGATTCTCAGCGAACTACGAACTTTTCTAGGTTGTTTTATAATAAAGATAGAAAGCCATTAGTCAGCTGGATTCGCAGAGAGTTCCCTGATAGAGAGCAAATCTCTGCTTGAAGCAGTTGAAGCAGGCCTGTCTCACCTGGACCAGAGAATCTGGGGCGAGAGAGAAGAAAGAGCAAGGGCAGGAACACCCTGATGCTGAGCTATTGGGTCAACTCCAGACACACACGGGGGAAGCTTCAGGGAGGTGGGATGAAACCAAGAAAGGCTGCTGAGCTGGTCCCTCTCTCAGCTCTGGTCCATCAGAGCCTGCAAACACCATGAGAAGTGTGCTTGCGGGTGGGTCAGGGAGAAGACACTGTAGGAAGCTGGGATGGAGCAGTGATAGCAATGGGTGTCTGTGATTCTGGAGCTGAGATGGCTCACACCACAGACAGGCTCCGCAGGAGATTCTATTGTATTTAAGCAGAATACAGCTCTGTCTCCCAGTCTACAGTCTACATGTGTCCCCCTCGGAGGCACAGAATTCATTTAAATAACTCGATGACCTGAGGCAAATCTCTGTATAAAATAAATTTTATAAGGTAGTTCTAAATTACAACAAGAATTTCATTTGTGTTTTTAAAACATCTTTACCAGAACTTGGGAGGTAGAGGCAGGTGAATCTCTGAGTTCAAGGAGATAAGCTGGTCTACAAAGTGAGACCTTGTCTCAAAAAAAAAAAAAAGTGTTTTTTTTATGCCTACACAGGATGAGATTCCTCAATCTATTGTCTCTCTCCCACAAAAATTACCTAGTTAATCTTTACTAAGCTTTGAATCTGAAATGTCCCCACAGGTTCATGGGTTGAATGCTTGTTCCTCAGCTGAGGAACTGTTTTGGATGGCTTTAGAACCTCTTTAGCTGACAGAAGTCACCAAGGACAGACTTTTCAAGCCTCCCGCCTCATTCCCTTCGCTCCACAGCTGTGATCTCCCACTCCCACAGAGGGAGCCTGTCTTCCACACCACCACTGGGGTACTAGACGGCAAACCCTCTGAAATAGTCCGCCAACACCGGATCCTCCTCCCGCGTGTTGTTTCCACCAGAAACGTGACTTCAGTGATGCTAAAGCAATGGATGCAGGTTTCAAATGGTCACCCACACTGAGCACTACTCTCACTGAGTTTGAGCATTCCTGTTCAAGAAGTAGAGCCCAGGGCAAGGAAGATATGCTGGCAGGGGAATGAATCCTGTGTGTAAAACCATTCATGGGGTGAATTTGGGGTCCTAGAAGTTCAGAATTTCAGCAAAAGTCACGGACCCCGCCCCCAGAAGCCAGTGCCCCAGTTACCCATGCCAGGGAGCTAAGAGGAGAAACAGCCTAGCCCCAAAGGTCTGCGCTTGCGGCTCTGCTCTACCAAGTCTATCTGAAAGAAGGACAAGGTCTTTGGCATCTGGATTTCCGTTTTGTTCATCTAGGAAACAGAAGGAAATCATTAAGGGACTTGATCGGGGGAGGGGGAGGGAAATGGCAGGCGGTGGCGGGGAGGAGGCAGAAATCTTTAATAAATAAATAAAAATAAAATATTTTTTTTAAAAAAAGGCCGAGAGTCTGCTTGTGCCAAACTAGCCTTCTAATTCTAATGTTTCTGTCTGCCTGGTGGTTCCATCTTTTCTGGACTTTCTTTCGTCTCCTTTGATGCTGATGCATTGTGGGGCTCAGTACCACACAGGCCTTCCGTGAAATGGGTTGATGCCGATCTGCTGTGGGCCTCAATACCATGCAGGTTTTCAATGCAGTGGGTCTCCCAGCAACTGGCATTCACACAACTACTTTGGAATTCTGCTATAAACCGAGGTTATAAAAAAAATTCAACTTATACTATTACAATGGTTAACTTATGTCAGCTTTCCTGGGTCACAGGGCCCGGATATTTGCTCAAACATGATTGTGGATGTTCCTTTGAGAACATTTTGGAGGCAATTAACATTTACATTTGCGGACTCTGAGTAAAAGAAGATCCTAATGTAGTGGGCCTTCCCCAGTCAGTTGAAAGTCTGAAAAAGAGCAAAACCCTAGCTTCCCCTGAGTGGAAAAGAAATCGCAGCAGAGGACCTTCAGACTTGGGTCGCCGATCAAGAGAGTCTGCAGCTGGCAGGCTATCCTGCAGACTCAAGCCTTGTCAGCATACAGCTTGAGTTGATTCTGGCGAGATGGCTCAGAGGTTAAGAGCACTGATTGCTCTTTCAGGGAACCTGGTGACTCACAACTACCTGTAACTCTAGTCTTGAGGGATCTGATGCCCTCTAGCAACAGGCATTGCATACGGTATACAGATTTACATGCAGGCAAAACACCCATGCATGTAAAATACAATAAAATAAAGAAATTTAAAATGAAACTTCTTCCTGCCTTTCCTTGTCCGTCTCTGTCTCTGTCTGTCTTGCTGGCGCTCTCTCTCTCTCTCTCTCTCTCTCTCTCTCTCTCTCTCTCTCTCTTTCTCTGTCACGTACACACACGCACACACAAGCCTGAAGAATCCTGACTAATAAAAATGTGGCCGGGATTTCTTATCTACGATGTTTTCTGGCAGAAGGCTGACATATATTGCTTCCTGTGAATCTGGGTTCCCACTGCTAAAACTGAGCACCTTGGTGGAGAAGTGGAGTTGACAAAGGACGTAGAAGAAGCCGTTCCAGGGAATGAAGAAACTGATTTATTACTAACAGACCATACTTGGTGTGTAGGAAAATACTTTCTCCAATAACCAAAAACCAAAGAAAGAGGCTGAACTGGAACATAAGGAGAGGGAGCTAATGCCCTTCCTGGCCTCCTGGGTGACCTCAGATCAACATCTTAATTGAAAAGTAGAACTGTTGTTTAGTGTGTGGCTTGGCAATGAAGTTGATGCGTGACCATCAGCAGACGTGCCAGGTGGTCCAATGAGATGTTCAGGATGGAAAGCCATGGCACCCTGTCACGTGGTGCCACCGTCAAGGAGACGAACAGGATTGCTTCTCTCGGAAGGATTTGCTGTCCAAACAAAGAGTATGGTGAAAAGACAGCCTTCAGCTCTCAGTGCCTTCTGTTTGTCCCAGCTGCAGGAAATCAGTTCGCCCCAGACCGGTGAGTCCCCAGGCACCTGTGTCCACTGGTTGAGTGGGGTGCAGGTAAAAGGATCCAGTCAGATGCTCTGGAGGACAGCGTGTACCCCAGAACCTTTCCTTGAGTGGAGGCTCTCCTCGGGCCCTCTCTGAAGCTGGACTTCCTCCTCTCTGCCCTCCACTTCCTCACAGATATTGATCCCCAACATATACCCGATCTCATTTCCCTGAGTACCTGCTTCCAAAGAAACCAACCTGTGACGTTCGTAGGCAGATACCTTCACCGCAGGTAGACTATGAGGACACGTATTGTGGCCATAAAACCACACTCAGGGAGATGCTCGTGAGTGAGAATCGCAGCTTTATGTAGATCTGGGACAGAAAAATAAGTGAATTGGCTGAAAGGGAAATGTTCCATTAGGAATTGGGGCTCTTATGAAATTCATTTGTCAATAGCTAATGGAATTTATCAAAAACTAAGCCTCTCTTTCCCTACTCCCCATCTCTTCTCTCCCTCTCTATCTCCTCCCCCCTTTCTTTCTGTTTCCCATTCACTGTGGTACCTTGTCTGTGTTTTTCGTGTTAGATCCACCCTTCCTTATTTCTTCACGATTTATTTATTATTATGTGTGTTTGCCTGCGCTCATGTATGTGTGTAGTGTGTGTGCTTCCAAACTCCCCATCAGAGATCACAGGAGACCTTCTGTGTGTTGTGGAGTATTATTTTAACTAGGCAAAGGTGTGTAACATTTGTTTATGCTGTGGAATGTTACTGTACCTATGTGACGATGTGTTGTTTGTTTTTGCCCTTCATTTGTTTAATTATGTAAAGGTGTGTTCTTGTTTTGCCTTACCTGCCTAAGGCACCTGATTGGTCTAATAAAGAGCTGAATGTCCAATAGGTAGGCAGAAGAGGGATAGGCAGGACTGGTGGGCAGAGAGAATAAAAACAAAAGGAGATATATAGACTCGAGAGAAAAGAGGGGGAAGAGAATGAGGGAGAAAGAGAGGGACACGAAGTCAGACAGCTGCCAGACAGATAGACTCAAAAGCAAGAAAGAAGGCCATACAGGAGGAAAGAACATAGACAAAGAGAAGCAGGTAAAATTAAGTTAAAGAGCTCGTGGGACAAGCATATGATAAGGCCGAGCATTCAACACCAATAATAAATCTCTGTGTCATGATTTGAGAGCTGGTTGGTGGCCAAAAGAAAAAGCCTGGTACATTTAGCCCAGGTCCTCTACAAAAGCTAGTGACTGTAACTGCTGAGCTATCTGTCTACTCTTGGAGCTTATCAAATCACATGAGCCCCAAACAGAAAGCCCAGACTATCAGGCTCGGTGACCCTATTCTCTGTCACCTTAGAGGAACAGAGCCTGTGGCCAGCTGATCATCTCTCTGAATTCTCAGGTAAGTACCGACCTGGCTTGCTCCTCAGCCATCAACCATGGCCAGAGACGCCATCATTTGGGATGGAGAGCCACCTTCTTCCTAGGGTTGTAGAAAGACTCTTTTCTAAGAAGAGGATGTGAGAGTGAGACAGGCTTCTCTAGCACAAAGTGCTCACCGCTACGATGCAGTGGAAGAAGGCAGATGGTCAGTTCCCCGTCCTTCATCTACCACCTCGTCGTTGCCCTAAACTGAAGAGAGTCAGCTAATGCTGGTCCTGCTTCCTCGGCTGAAACACAGGGATAATTCTTCTGGTTCAGCGGCATTTTTAAATTTGGTTTACTTTTTAAAAATGACTTTACATTTTGTTTGTTTTTCAAGACAGGGTTTCTCTGTCCTGGAACTCACTCTGTAGATGAAGCTGACCTCAAGCTCACAGAGATCCATCTACCTCTACTCTCCTGAGTGCTGGGATTAAAGGCATGCACCACCGCTGCCTGGCTAAAAAAAAAAAAAAAAAAAAAATGATTTTACAATTTTAAAAGTCAGGCGCTAAGATATGCACCAGAAACAAAGAAGTAAAATACAGTTTCTGCTGTAGACAGATGTCTTCATTCTCATGAAGGGGGAAAGTAAGAGAGCACATCATAATTACAGTCCTAGGTGACATGCAGTGGAAGAGAAAAACATACCTGGGTTAGGTGTCCTCCGTGCATGCCCTCGGTGTGTGTATTGTGTGATATAGACAGAAAAGAAAAAGGAGGAAGGATGGAAAAGTCTTGCAGAAGAGATAAACCTGAGTGGAGGCTTGACAAGCAAGAGAAAGAACGATATGGAGGTTATCCCATTGTGAGAATGTCATGGGTTGGATTCAAACGTGTGAGAGATTGGCCAGTTTCAGAGCCGTGACAATGGGTGAGCGAGACGAAAATAAAAGTCAGCATCTAGCATGGAGCCAGACAGGAAGAGCGGTGCGGCCGCTCGAGAAGAGGCTGCACTAGAAATGAAGCTGGGTCAACACAGCTTCTCTGAGAAACAAGAAGTGAAACCGTATGTGGGGAACACTCTAAAACCAGAAGTGATCCAGACGTCCCAGCGCGCAGTACCGCACAGAAAGACTCCAGACGTCCCAGCGCCCAGCACCACACAGAAGGGGTCCAGACGTCCCAGCGCCCAGCACCCCACAGAAGGGGTCCAGACGTCCCAGCGCCCAGCACCACACAGAAGGGGTCCAGACGTACCAGCGCCCAACACTGCACAGAAGGGGTCCAGACATACCACGCACTGCACAGAAGGACTCCAGACAAAACCAGCATCCAGCTCTACACAGAAGGATTCCAGCAATACCAGCACCCAGTCCCTCACCGGTTATATGTCAGGAATTAGGCCCAGCAGTCTAATGAATTTGTCTCTGGGAGAAAAGTAATATCATCTTTATTCTGCAGGACTTGATTTGAATAATTTCCCCAAGTGCACCTGGTATCTTAGTTGGGATCCCCGGGAGCAAACTGTGGGGACAGAAGTTAATTGTCAGTGGTTTATTTTGGAGGTGATCCCAGGAAAGAAAAACAAACAACCTAGTTGGCAGGTAGAAACATGAGGCAGAGAAGGGAAGGGTTACGGGATTATTTTGTCCTATCAAGCAGGTCACCACCAAGGGTACCTGAAGCTAAATCCCATTGGTCATTTTTTGGAAGACGTTGACAAACAGGGCTCAGAGTCACTTCTAGCAGGAGATGAGGCCAGGCCACTTCTCCACACGTCTCACTGGTACCGCTGTTTCGGGTCTGTTTTTCAAGGCGGTTTACTCTGGCATCATACTCTTCAGGCAGGGTCAGCAGGTATTCTCGGTAAGCGGTGCTCAGCCTGTGGAGGTGTGAGCTCAGAAGTGTCTGGCAACACACACCAGCCGCAAGTAACAAGTCAGACCGTCAGGCAAACTGTAGCTTGGCTTCTGTATTGATGACTTTCATCATGAGTCTGCCAGTGCGGGTAGGGTTGGGTAGAACAGAGCGATTCCCATGGCAGTGGCCGGGAAGGAGAAGGAGAGGCAGGAAATAGAGAAGAGGCAGGGTCAGGGATAATGTACCTCCAAAGACCTACTCCTGCTGTCTAACCTCCTCCAGCTAGGTCTCACCTCCTTTAGGTTTAGACCATCCCCAAATGGGACCAGCCATTGTTCTGCAAATAGGAGGAGGAGGAGGAGAGAGAGAGAGAGAGAGAGAGAGAGAGAGAGAGAGAGAGAGAACTCAAGCAGTCCAAGTTGGTTTTAAACTTGTGACTCTCCTGCCCCCACCTCTTGCGTGCTGTCCTTACAGGTGTGTTCCAGACTTTTTTTGGGTGCATATCAACTATTACATCATTCTGTTTTTGCCCCACTAGGCAGCTGAGGTCAATAAAGCATTTCCCTTCATGACCCTGTGGGAGCAATCTACCCCCCAAAAATCTCTCTTTCAAATGAGTTCACAATTTGACAACTTTGCACCCTAAAACCTGCAATACCTGGGATCTGACCAATCCTTCGGATGCCTTCAAAGTAGCTTTCCTATTTTCCCAGGGAAAGTGTTTTTCCTTCTCCCCTTTCTCTTCCTTTTCTTGTTAAGTTTAAAGGCCTAAGCTCTGTAATAGGATACCTCAGTGAAAGCATACATCTTTCCAACTTTTCCACACTTTTTACTCCCGAATCTTGCTGTAAACCTGCCTAAAAGTATCCAAGAATAACGGTGCCACATCTCAAATGCTCTCCTTTCATGGAATTTCCCCACCAAACCACTCTTCCATTTTTAAAGTTGGCTTCCCATTAAGTTTCAGGACACCGACAAAGTAGAGACCGATTCTGTGGCCTCTACAGAGATGTGTGTTCCAATTCCCTACAGAGATTTGTCTCATCTGAAACTCCACAACCGTCCACTCCACATTTCTCCTTTTTCCTCTCCTTCTTTTCCGTCTCCTTTTAATTTTATGTGCATAGGTATTTTGCCTGTGCGTATGATTATGCACCATTTACATACCTGGTGCCCAGGAGGCTTTGGATTCCCTAGAATTGAAGTTACCGACAGGGGTGAGCATAAGTCCTCTAGGAGAGAAGACAGTGTTCTTAACCTCTGAGTCATCTTCAGCCCTACATCTCTTTGTCCACATTTCTAATAGCACTCTTTCCTTCTGAGCTCACAGGAGAATTGCCTATTGATCTCTGCTTACAGATTTTCAGCACCTACTTCTCCAAACTCTTCTCCCAAAAAACCAGTTTCACAGTGGGTGAGTCATCTCACCACAATTCACCTAATCAAGGCAATTGCTCACATCATGCCTATTCCCACCTCAGTCTAATCAAGGCGACCCCTTACTTCCATCAAGCCTAGCAACATGACTCAAGCTGACAATTGGGATTGACCATCACAATAATCATGCTTTCTAGAAAACACAACAGGTCCTGATAAATGACAGACACATAATTGACGGTTAGTGAATATGTATGGATGAATTTATTAAGCCAATACAATTTTAGTGGTATTTAGTATTATTTTTGCTGTAAAAATGCCCTAGGGTAGAAATCGGGAGGTTTGGAAATTAGGCAATTGGGAGACCTCCCCCACTAGGACTGGGAACTCAGAGAGGCTGTTTAGATTTATTAAGCTTTACTTCGCCAATCTTCAAACCTTGTTTTATTGCCTGCCCCACCCACCGAGGTTAAGGTTTTGAGAACGAGTATGGAAAGATAAAAGCGCAGGAAAGGAGGTGGTTATCCCATATCTCTGTCTTGGATGTGGATCAGAGTTAGGTATTTGTTGACCTTTGGATCTTCATGATCTAAGACTAAGTATTTTGGGGTTGTCAAATTTATTAACCAAGCATTTTAATTGCAAAAAAAACCCTCAAAACAAACAAACAAAAACCCCAGAAACAAATTCTGGTTAATGTATTCAAAACAGGTGTGAGGGCCCACAGAAGTGAGTCGGCTGCACTTGGACTGAAGGGCAGAG